AGGCGGCGGCCGCTCTGGCAGCAGCCATGCCAGGGGCTGGAGGGGCCAAATCTGAAGCCAGAGGCAACGGCCCTCTGCCTGGAGGAGGAGGGCTCATGGAGGAGATGAGTGCCCTGTTAGCAAGGAGGTAGCGACACATCATATATTACTCTTCGATTCAGTACGTCTCAAAATAGGCACTTGAGTCATATGAATGAATTTCAGATCTTGTTTCATATACTACAGAAAAGTGAAACTTGACACAGTTGCCATACAGTAGATTTAGCAAACCCCAATGTTGGTCGCAATGGATTTTGTTGTGCCACCTGAAGAATAAGTTCATGTACTCATCACTCTCACTATTCCTCAGTATTATGAGATGATATGTAGTAAAATCGTAATTTAAATGCACTTTGTTGCTGACAGAGAAGTATCACTGTAAGATCTAGAGAAATCTAAGGAATTTAGGTTTTAAAAATGTGGAGTTCAGGAGGAATTGTGTGGTCTGTGCTTTATGATATTAACATTAAACATGATGATATGTTTTTAAAAATAGCAACTGTTTTTCAGAAATAATTCTGGACTCTGTCTTACAGGAGAAGAATTGCAGAGAAGGGCTCATCACCTGAACCTGACCAGAGATCAGTAAGTACCATTAGATCCTTCTTGTAAGATGATGTCATGGGGTAGGACTGGATAAGTCTGATTTCTTCCTACTCCATTCAAGCATGTACTAGGTATAAGCAAATTGATATTGGATTAGCATTTGTTGGATATGTGTAAAATTATGTGTGTTGACATATCAACTGTCTTTACATGCTTGAAAGAATAAATCAAATCAAATCAAGTAGAAGTTCTGGTTAAAGTTAGGGTAAGTGTCCTGGAAATGAATGCAAGTCTACGTAGGGACCCCATAAGTGACAAAAACAAGGATATGTATGTGTGTGTGTGTGTGTGTGTGTGTGTGTGTGTGTGTGTGTGTGTGTGCAGTAAACCTCATATTTGGCGAGGTCTGCCCTCAGGCGCCCTATGTTCTGGGCTGTTTCTGTGATCTGAGGTTCCAGACTGGATGGGTCTCCCATCTGTGGATTCTTCTCGTACACACCCTTCATCTTCTGCAGTGCGCCACTGAGGTCAAGCAGAGGGGGAAATGTTATTGTGTTGGAAATGTGAGCACTGATTAAAGAAGTTATTCTCCTGTGCAGAACTGCTGATCAGGACAGGGGGGGTGGGCATATGTGTTTACAAGTTAGGAGGAGTTGCTGAAGGGACATGTTGTACTAGTGTACACGGCATCAGTGCTGCTGGGGGCTGGCGGTGGCTGGTAAGATATGGTGTTGCAATTCATATCAAAGATGTTGGATGAGTGCGAGGTCAGGGGTCTGTTCAGGTCAGTCAGGGTTTTCCCACATTAAACTGGGAAATGTTATGGGCCTGGCTTCATGCACAGGAGCACTGTAAAGCTCAAACAGGAAAAAACATCAATTATGGGGCCGATTCCAAAACATAAACAGCCCCACACCGGAAGTACACAGAAGTATGTAGATACCTCTAACTACATAATAGACATATAATAATTCTGTTCGGTGAACCTTTTGACATCACTGATTGCTTGAATTCGTTACATTTAAAGCCATCAAGGACATCAAAATAAATCTAAAAGTGTTTGTTTTTTTTATTGTGGTAACGCATCATAAATAGCCCTGAAACTTTCCTACAAATGTAGGAATACTTGGGGGAATTGCACAAACATGCTAATGCTTGATAAGACTGATGAGGATACGTTTTTGCAGATATTTGGACAGATAAAAACTCTGACATGATGATGGCGTTAGTTTGTTGGTAACTCAGTGGGTATCCACCAGTGGAAGTATTAAAGGGCAGCCCCAACAGCCCCAGAACCACTGTATCTAAATCAGGGAAAGTGAGGAATAACACCATGTTAATCCATTTTAATCTGCCCTGAACAACCTCTGATGATCACAGTGAAAATTCGGAGTCTTAAGTGAGATTTTTCAGGGACAGTAATGATATTGTTAGATATGCTGTCACCCTTGGTCCTGTGCCTTCAGCAGCTCTTTGGTGTTTTCATCAATCTTCGCCTGCAGCTTCTTCTTCCTCTGCTCTGGAGGAAGGTGAGAGAAGTCCTCTGCAACAGGCAACTACACACAAACACACAGAGACGCACAGGTTAAGTGTCTTACAACAGCTCGCCACCAGGTGTCACTGCTTCCTGTCTCTTGCTCTCTCTCTCTCAGTGCTAATTGAGCTTGTTAGTCAAATAAATCTAAAAATAGTCACATAATTATCCTGTGTCAAGAAAACAAACCCAGATCAAATTAGTGAAGGGACTACAGAGAAAACACACACACAGCTCCAGAATGAGGAAGAAGCATGACTGCTAACATCCTGTGACACCGTTTAATTATCCAAGGACAAATTTCAGCTGAGTGTTTTGGACTGGTGCATACTGTGTGAATAACAAAGACCCAAGCTCCTGTGATGCCATAGCAACGTATATCTAGCTAAGTGCAGGAATTCAACTTAGATACAATAAATTAAAGGCCAATATTAAGGGAAATTTACAAACAAGATTTAAGATAGTCTTAAAATTAAACATTTATTTCATAGGTTTTTCTAACTCTGACCTTTGAACTGCTAAAAAAAAACACTCCATATTTTTTGAAAGCTTAGAAAAAATACAAAAACACAGAAAATCACTTGCCCCCAGACATAAAATCTTGCTTGCGCTGCCGACCTGTGGTGACTACATGGTCTTTTAACACTTTGCAACTAGTACAACAGAGCAGCTGTGATCACAGGTGAGGTCATGTGAAGCCTGGTCACACTGAAATGTTGCAGCAAAATCAGCTGATTTTAGCAGAATCTGTGATTTGTGTTGCATAAAGGATAAGGATAATCACCTTTATTTGGCCAAGTATGTTACACACAAGGAATTTGTTTCCGGTACAGAACCAAGGCAACCATCTGCAGTGCCAACTCAACCCATGGCTCTAACCAGAGATGACTGCTCTACCCACCACACTATCGCCTCCCCTAAGTTTGACTTAGGTGAACTTAACCACTCAAACTTGCAAAACAGGTGTACAACAAATGCAGCACAGAGGACAGACACACTAACAACAAGTATATCTTTACAGAAGCACAACTACAAAGAAAGAACAGCTTATTTACATGAAACGCATCACTGAGATTTTTCCAGAATGATGATGTGAACAACAGCAAGGGGGACGGAGCTGAACCAAAGCTGACCAAGATGGTGGTGTCACTCACCAAACAAGTTTGTGTAAGATCTTTAAGGTGGAATTCCTGGGTTTGACAAAGTGGCTAAACTCCCTCAGACACAGAGATAGAGGGGAGCACTGCAGCTTGGAGAGGGGGAGGGAGACGGCATGGCTGCCAGCTGGGAACAAGAATGGGGGAGAGAAAGCAGGAGGGGAAAACTGGAGAGCGGAGCAAAAAGAAAAGGTGTAGGAACAAGGAGCAGAGGGAGAAAATGATACTGGTGACAAGAGGAAAGAAGAGAGGAGTTACACAGATGCAGGATCTTTTAAATAAGGGGGACAAAAAGTTCAGGAGACAGCAAGTGGGGGCTGTTTTTGGGCAAGTCTGTGCAGCAAACTGGAAGCAGAATTGGCCCCTGAGGGCAACAGGGTGGTGGGCTAAGACATGACTGGAATGTGTGTTGTGTTTCATGTGTGTGTGTTTGCTCTAAAGCATTGTTAGGAGACTGAGTGTCACTCAGCACTTCTACAGTACAGGAGTGAGATGAGAAGTGAGCGGGGTCCTTGCCTCTTTTTTTAGTTCATTTAGTCCTCCAGCCTGCAAAGCTACAGGCTTCTCCATATGACTCATTCTCTTAGATGTGTATTGAGAAACACTGAGTTAATCAGTTATTAAAAGTTAAAGCTACTTTTTCTTATACCAATAAATCCCTTTAAAAGACCATAACTAAAAGGTTTGATCCTATTAAGGAGATGTGAGTCATCAGTGTGACGATTCGCTGTGGCGACCCCTAAACAGGAAAAGCCAAAAGTGACTTTCTTTCTTTGTCTGTGTAGATAATGTGTGGTAAACAATGGTTGAGTTCTCTGTTAGAGCTCCATTGTTGTCATAAATTAAAAACCCATCCAGGAATTACACCTTTGTACTGGGTGACGTGTCCCTGTAGCTGGAGCCATTTCCTCATATGTACTGTACATAATCCTGGTGCTATAGAAAAACTCAATTGCTGCTAAATGTGTAGTAATCCACAGGAGACAATAGTTCCTAACAAATGCACTATTTACTCCTGTGCATGTATTTTTACTAAAAACTACAATGACCAGTTTTTCGGGAATCACTGGAGCTGTGTTTTTAAATGGAACTATATTGTTTGTCCCTTTTTGAAAGATGAACTTCAGTCTAAATATATTTTCTGTATTACTGCTTTTTTTTGGATAAATGCTTTTTTACAGCACATCATGATCTACTAAGTGTAATTATTTCATTTAATTTGTCTCCAGTACAGAACCAAGGCAGCCATCTGTGTCACCAACTCACATGCAAACCCATGGTGGCGCTGTCCATGCAAGGTGCTGCTCTGATCACTGGACGCAGTTAGGGGACGACCTCAGGAGGTAGAGCGGTCGTCTCTACCTCCTGAGCCCCAGCCACCCCTTACAATGATGTAGTTCCCATACTGGGAGTCAAACCCAGGCAGCCAGGAATCGTAACTGCTTTCATGACTTAATTTTAATACTTACAGGAAGATTTGCCTGTAGTGCACCTATACATATTAAAATATAAGAAACATAATGAGTGTTACAATTTAGTTTGAGATATTAAATTTAGAGATAAATTCTATGGATTACAAACGACTGGATTATATTAGCCTGATTAGTTAAGCCACATTTTAAGGACAGGACCCAAACATGACGGAGAGGAAGCTCAGGTTATTGAATGCAGAAGCAGGAGAATCAGAGTCAGTGAACATCTTGTCTGTGACTCCGTGCTTTTCATGCTAAGTCAGAGTGAGGCTGGTCTAATGTACACAGCATGGGAGTTCACCTTTTGCTTCTTGCTGAAAGGCCAGAGCTTTGGGCGCCCTTTAGGTAGGTTGAGGTTGGAGTCATAGGTTGCTGATTTGTTTCCCTGAGAGTAGTCTTCAAATTCCACATCTCCAGGTCGCTCAAAACCAGACTTGTGCTGCTCTATCAAGAGTGCTGAGTCCTGCAGGGTGACATAAACATCAAAGTATAAGTGCTGGTGTACAAATAAGTGTGATAAGGATCAAAATGCAACACAAAACAGCATTATAATGTATGTACATCATTTATTGGAAAAAAAAAATCTATAACACTAAACCTCACTGAAAATCACTCACATGTGGATTAGGCAATGCCTACCTTAAGAATTACCATAGATATGAATCAACACCTCACAGACAGTGTCAACAACAGCAGTTTTTATTATGAGTGTTGTATTGGATTGTGTTAGCAAACTTTGCACAATAAACTCCATTACGTCAGTGTGTGTAATAAAAGTAACTGATTGAGTCATGCACAAAGAAGATAAAATAATTAGTGTAGCCATCTTACACCATGACCTCTGAAATTCAGAGAATTTGACCTTGAACTGTAAGAGGTAGAGCAGCTCAGTTTAGCTTAGTCTAAAGTATGAAGGATAGAGAACCTTAACCTGGCTCTGACCAAAGGTACAGTGCCTTGCGAAAGTATTCGGCCCCCTTGAACTTTGCGACCTTTTGCCACATTTCAGGCTTCAAACATAAAGATATAAAACTGTAATTTTTTGTGAAGAATCAACAACAAGTGGGACACAACCATGAAGTGGAACGAAATTTATTGGATATTTCAAACGTTTTTAACAAATAAAAAACTGAAAAATTGGCCGTGCAAAATTATTCAGCCCCCTTAAGTTAATACTTTGTAGCGCCACCTTTTGCTGCGATTACAGCTGTAAGTCACTTGGGGTATGTCTCTATCAGTTTTGCACATCAAGAGACTGAAATTTTTGCCCATTCCGCCTTGCAAAACAGCTCGAGCTCAGTGAGGTTGGATAGAGAGCGTTTGTGAACAGCAGTTTTCAGTTCTTCCCACAGATTCTCGATTGGATTCAGGTCTGGACTTTGACTTGGCCATTCTAACACCTGGATATGTTTATTTGTGAACCATTCCAATGTAGATTTTGCTTTATGTTTTGGATCAGTGTCTTGTTGGAAGACAAATCTCCGTCCCAGTCTCAGGTCTTTTGCAGACACCATCAGGTTTCCTTCCAGAATGGTCCTGTATTGGGCTCCATCCATCTCCCCATCAATTTTAACCATCTTCCCTGTCCCTGCTGAAGAAAAGCAGGCCCAAACCATGATGATGCCACCACCATGTTTGACAGTGGGGATGGTGTGTTCAGGGTGATGAGCTGTGTTGCTTTTACGCCAAACATAACGTTTTGCATTGTTGCCAAAAAGTTCGATTTTGGTTTCATCTGACCAGAGCACCTTCTTCCACATGTTTGGTGTGTCTCCCAGGTGGCTTGTGGCAAACTTTAAACGACGGACAGGGAAGATGGTTCAAATTGATGGGAAGATGGATGGAGCCAAATACAGGACCATTCTGGAAGGAAACCTGATGGAGTCTGCAAAAGACCTGATACTGGGACGGAGATTTGTCTTCCAACAAGACAATGATCCAAAACATAAAGCAAAATCTACAATGGAATGGTTCAAAACTAAACATATCCAGGTGTTAGAATGGCCAAGTCAAAGTCCAGACCTGAATCCACTCGAGAATCTGTGGAAAGAACTGAAAACTGCTGTTCACAAACGCTCTCTATCCAACCTCACTGAGCTCGAGCTGTTTTGCAAGGAGGAATGGGCAAAATTTAAGTCTCTTGATGTGCAAAACTGATAGAGACATACCCCAAGTGACTTACAGCTGTAATCGCAGCAAAAGGTGGCGCTACAAAGTATTAACTTAAGGGGGCTGAATAATTTTGCACGCCCAATTTTTCAGTTTTTTATTTGTTAAAAAAGTTTGAAATATCCAATAAATTTCGTTCCACTTCATGATTGTGTCCCACTTGTTGTTGATTCTTCACAAAAAAATACAGTTTTATATCTTTATGTTTGAAGCCTGAAATGTGGCAAAAGGTCACAAAGTTCAAGGGGGCCGAATACTTTCGCAAGGCACTGTAACACAGTCAGAGGTTATGTGTGGGACTATTTGTCTTGGTGCCATGATTTCCTAGAGTCTTGACTCGTTGCCAACAACAACGCCCAATCAAGAAATCCTGCACACATCCCACTGTTAAACCACAGCCTTCCATTTTTACACCTGACTCTTCATACAAGTTAATATAGCTCAAGATGTTAAAGGTGAGGCAGCACAGGGGTTAGTACTGTCACCTCACAGCAAGAAGGTTAAGGGTTTGAGCCCAGGCCAACCTGGTGCCTTTCTGTGTGGAGTTTGCATGTTCTCTCCAGGTACTCTGGCTTCCTCCCACAGTCCAAAGACATATACTGTATCTTAATTTCCCCCAGCAGTGAGTGTTCACCTTTATTTGGCCAAGTCTGTTATACACAAGAAATTTGTTTCCGGTACAGAACAGAGGTAGCCATCTGCAGCGCCATCTCACACCGATGGCTCTAACCATCGGGGGCAACTTGGGGGTTCAGTGTCTTGCCCAAGGACACTTCGACATGTGGACTGCAGGCGCTGAGATTCGAACCTCTAACCTTCTGGTTGGGAGATGACTGCTCTACAGCCCCACAGACTGTTGTTAATTGTCAGCCCCATGATAGATTGGAGACCTGTCCAAGGTGTATCTCGCCTCTTGCCCAATGTCAGCTGTGATTGGCTCCAGCCCCCCGCAACCCTCTTCAGGATAAGCGGTACAGATAATGGATAATCCTTTCATGCAATTACCATAAGGGTGCTTAGAGCGGCCAATATGGGCGTTCACAGTCTGGCCGAGTATTTACTATTAGGCTTAATGAATAAAATAGTATCATTACACATCTTAACATGTTTGTATTCAGCCTTCTTGAAAATTACACTGTGGTCAAGTGAGTCGCCATTAGCTTTTTCTTGGTCATGTCAGCCGAACTTGCTGTCCGAGTGCGCAGCTTGTCCTACATTTACAGTAATCGCTGTGAAATGGCTGTGAGGGCTGTTTAACATGAGCCTTGCTAAAGTCTGCAACCTCACTGCTAGACGTCACAAAACCTCACATAATGCACCTTTAATTGATGAGATGTAGAAGTTTATTTTTTTTCCTTTCAAACAGTCAGTTTCACCTGTTTATGATCTATATAATAAGCCAAGATAAAATAAATGACCTGGCTGCTGGTGGTAGCTTCATATTTAAGACCAATCTTCTCACCAAACTCTCATCTAACAAATGCAAATAAAGGCATTTCTCAAAATATGAAAGTATTCCATTAAACACCAGAGCAAAGAGCAGCATCCATCCAAGTTTCATGCCAATCAGAGCAGAGGTGTCTTAGGCATGACCGTGGACAGACAGATGTAGTCAAAATGATCTTAACTGTATACAGACAACATCCATAGACACCTATGTAGTCAAACACTTACCTGTTTCTCATTAATTTTTGCCCCTGTTGCAGAGATGCCCTCTAGACACTTTGAGATGATGGGCAGCACCTTCTTCTCAATGTCAGAAAACTGACAGTAGCCCTCCGCCAGCCGCCGGATCCTCCGCTCATCCAAGTCCTGCAGTTTCTGTTCACCACACAAACATTCAACAACCTCCTTTATTTTCAGATTATCATCACACTGCCTGTGTTTACACAATGTACATTTAAATGTGTATGAACACACTGACACATGAACAGGTAAGTGAGATCAGTTGTCCTGCTTTGGGAATGTGTGTGTGTGTGTGTGTGTGTCTCTTTCTCACATTGAAGATTTGTGGTATCTCTGTGTAGTAGAAGAAGTTTTGTTCTTTGTTGTATTTCTGGAGCTGTGCTGCGTAGTCGTTCCTGCACTCCTCTGCCGTGTGTAAGCGGGCAAACGCGTGCTGTTTCACCTTGAGAGTGAAAAACAGAAGAGAAAGGGAAGGGAAGATGATGGGACGCATGAAAAGAGAGAAATCAAGAGATGGACAACAAGATACCAAGTGGGAGAAACGTAAAAATAGACACAGGGAGGAAGAGGACAAGAGAGACAAGAGATACCAGGAGGTGGAAACAGCCACAGAGGGAGACAGACAGGAATGTTCAAGGGTTTTGTTTTACTAAAAATTTTTAAAAACCAGATCTGTCACTAGTAACATGTGGCTGTTTACTTTGTCGACATCAGGCTTGGTGGCATTGAGGTCATTCTCTATTTTCTCTGCTTGTTGTGTGGCTTTTTCAGCTTCCGCCCACTCCTTGGCAAAGCGTTTCTTAATCTGCAGACATGAACATGCACATACAAACACACATGCTTTACATAGAACACTAGTAGTATTAAAAATGCAAAAGCCATGGGACTTGCTACAAATGCAAGGAAAGGAAGCTGAAATCCCAAACCTGAGGGGAAAACAGTAACACTTTATTTAACAGTACAGTTTCGTAAATTTATCATATTTGTTTCCAAAATAAAGCTTTACCAGCAAAGCTACCTGCATCATGTCACAACCAGCAACTGAACCAACCTGTCAAATAATCACACGATCCACACTGGACACCAGTAAACAACAATAACAAGTCACTCACACTTTCTAGGTGTTTAAAGCTGCCCTCTAAAGTCTGCTGGGCCTTCCTGGCATCGGCCAGGTGCTGTGGAAGGGAGAGGTGGCGGTAAATGTGCTGCAGTTTAAGATGATGACACATGAATTTGAAATATGCCAAATGCCCCCCCTCCCCTTCCTCCCTTCCTCTCTCACAGTTTTGCGTTCCTGCTTGACATCCTGAAGGAACTTAGTGAGCTCCGCACAAATTTCCGTCATCATGTTTTCAGCGACGAGCTCCCGCTGACCAGTGTAATCGTTCAGCTCGATCAAGATCTCCTGGAATGATGCGTGATTGCTGAACCTGCAGCAGGAAGGGGAGACAATCAGACAATTCATCACAGCTGGAGAGGCCCACAAACCATTTGCTAAACCCTTGAACAGTGATTTTTTCCCATTCAGTAGCTTAAAAACCATAACTAAGAGAGGTGTGTCAAGTTTTTGATTTCTACACATTTCTATAGCCTTTCCCAAACCAAAAACACAGGAGGAAAAGTATGAAAATGGATGAAACTGTATGTATCTCCTCTAACTTAAGCAGCAAACATTAGCATAACTCACTTCAAATAAGCTAGCGCTATTTCTGGGGCAGCTATATATTATAGTTAGGTTATGTCAGAAAAATAGGCCTAGTTGTTCAGAACTGAAACATCCATCTTATAAGAGCCAAGCTGCTACTAAAATAGGGTTTAAAGTAGAGAGAGCACCTTTGGCCTGCTCTTCTTTTGTTCTGGCATATTTTCTATGCCAGTAACTCCAGTCAGACTTCGGTTATATACTGTCACATTTACCAAGCTTAGTTACTCCAACCCCAAATCATTTTCTCTTGTACAGTTCAACTAGTTAAAAACATTAATGTGCAAATCAAACATCTGAATTGCTATGCTATTGTGCTAGGGCTGAATAGCTCCTGCCTGAAATGCACAAATAAGGCTACTCTTCCTTCCATTTGTACTTTTGTGTATGGAAAACAGGAGTGAGTGATATTTTATTGTTCTCTCACTTGGAGTCTTGGTCTTCCTTGCTCCCTCGCCTGGCATATTTCTTTGTTAGATTCCTGTTAGAATGGAAAAGCACTCTGACTGTTACACACACATCAAGCCACAGTGACATTTATGATGCAGATTTGTGTAAATAAAAATGAACTTTTAGAAAGAAACAGCTGGGCACACCTGAGCTGCTTTGTATAGCTCTGTTCTATCTCCGACCGTTCCTTCACAAACTTTACGTAGCGCTCCACCAGGTCGATGCCGGACTGCGTGTGCTTGTCGATGACATCATACTGATCCTGGGAGAGGGACAGCACAGAGCAACACGTTTACAACACAATGCAAACACAGCAGGCACCTGATGAGGTGCACTTGGAGGTTGGCATGTCGCAGCAAACATGCAACGCAGCTGACACAGTGCAGCGCAGGTGTTTGGACAGTGACACTTTTTTTTATTTTTTTTATTTTGTTGGCTCTGTACTCCAGCATTTTGTACTGGAAATAAAACAAATGACTGTGAGGTTGCTGTTGAGGGTGGTAGCAGCAGTGTAGGACAGGAAGCTGCTTTTGTGCACAGTACAAATTTCAGACAGTGCAATAGAACAATGACCCTGAACATACACACAATGAGGAGTCTCTTTCAAACAGGCCAAGTAAGTCATATGACCTCAGGCTAAGTCATCATGTATTTCATTTATTACCAACCAGAGTGAAAGCAAAACGCCCCGTGAAATGAATGAGAAGTAAGTGCGGCTGCAGTACGTGCACGGCAGAACGCATCAAGTGTCTGGGATAAATGCAACAGGTATTTTCCACACTGACCTTTTATAGATGGTAACTCAAACAATAAAATCAAGACAACTGGCAAATGAATCAATAAGCAAATAATTGTTAGTTGTAGCTCCAATTCAGACACAGACTATAAAGTGACTTTATTTGATTAGTCACATTTTTTTGTTCACTGAAATTGGACAACTACACAAAGGGTAACAGTTTCTACTTTGTTTTTTTAAATAACAGCTTTAAGAGAAAAAAGAAAAAGATCCTTTTATGGGTTTTACTGGACTATAGTCTTGTTGTTTACCTCCCTGGTTTTGTGTAAGGTCCATCTCACTATTTGTCCTCTCCAGACTAAATTCACAAAGACAGATGGACGGTCTCTGCTTCCAACGTATCTGATCTTTTTATACTACTGTGTAGTGAATGACAGAGAATAAACCACTGAGATAAACAGTAGATGGGTGCTTTGAGAAAACAAACCTAAATCTGATTATTGATCTGTATTAATCTGCTGATTCTTTTCTTGATGAATCATTTGGTCTATATAACCTCATACATTTTAACAATTAAAAGTGAATTTAATTATCAATTACTCTACCAATTCATGTTCTCAGTTAATAGTGAAAGAGTGAAAAATGCCACGGAACAAAAAAATATTAAGTTTACTGACATAGAAGAGAAAGATAATGAGGTTGTGTACAGACACACAGCTGGAACCACAAAATTTAGCAATTCATCTTAAAATAAATGTAATGATTATTCTCTTATTAAAATTGGAGCTGATTAACTTTCTGTCATTGGACTTATTAAATTTCCTGCTTTGCATCATATTTCATAAGGCTGTGGATCTGCAACTTATTAGAAGTCCAATAATAAACCAACACACACAGAATATGGTCCTTTCTCTCAGTCTGTGACAGATACAACTGAGATGCAGCCTGAAAACGAGACTGAAAATGAACACCACACTCTCCGGTCAACATTCCTTTCTTTTTACTCACAAACACCAACATGCACACACACACACTCTTAGACCCGTTCGACAGGTCACATTTGTCTTCTCTGTTCCCACTTGCTTGTATCTTGACATACAGTAAAGTGCTGGCTGAAGACGGATGTGAACCCAAATCTCAACACAGACACATCAGAAGACAAACTAATAGAGTGGTGCTGGTGCCGTGTCTCTTGTGAAATATAAACAAAGACTCCACCTTTTAGTTGTTTGTGTGGGCGCATATGTTGAGGCTGCAAAGTCTTATGGAGCCAGAGACACAGACGGCGAATCCTCAGAGGAGGGACGCTATATGGAGATCATACAGTAACACAGTTAACAGTGTCCTAGATAAGAGGAGGCAGGGAAGAAAGGAGGTGCAGGATCAGAAAACACAAGAAGACAATGAAGTGAAATGAACGATTTGCTTGATGAAACCTGCACCAGAAAGGAGAGCGGCTGGGGAAGTTGGACAGCTGTGAAACAAACTGCAAACACTGATCTGGATGAAGACTTTGTGAAGAATCTTTTAGATATATGCCTGTATGCTTTTCCCCACTTGAGCTGCTTCAACCAACTGCTTTACTTTAACACATTTACATGTTTGTGTGAGAGGAGGAAACAGCGATAGAGAAACACACAGGGTTCAGGAATGAGATAATCATTAGCTCAGTCTGAACCGCCGCCCTGCGACTGACAGTCCCAGGGGCCTTTTCAAACCCTGGAACCAGTTGGACTTGTCCCACCCCTTGCTGACAAAACACAGCAATGTTTCCTGGTTCAGACTGATCTGAGGTCAGAGTCTCGCTTATCACTCACACTGTACTTTCAAGCTGCCAAACAACAGGATTGGCTACACCAGTTAACTTTTAGATACTTTGCCCAGTAGTAGCCTAGTTCACTAATCGGACAGTTGTCAAGATACAGAAAATAATGGCAGAGAAAGAAGGATAAGTCCAATAAGTAAGTCCTGGCGATGTAGTTGTGTGGAATACTGTGGCTGCTCCCACCTGCATTATTTTAAATGTAAAGACAAGGGCAGTGCCGTGCACAGGGCAGACGGCTACTGCTCTTGAAAATGTGTATCGTTTTGATACGATTCAAATGCTCCAACTTGCTGTTATGGCCACAGAAACTACAGCAAGGGAAATAAGAAAGGAGCTGATTGAATTCCCTTAATCATAGTTTACACCTCTTCAGCAAGCAGATGACAGAGGGAACAATGAGGAGAAACATTAGCTTCACAACCTGGACTGGGCCACATATTAGAATCCTATAGTAGTGAGCAAAACGTCATTTGGTCTATTAGCTATATGATGTTTACAATAAGTGAACAGGAGCCTGAGATGTGTGGTATATGCAGGAGAGGCAGAGGTAACAAGGAATGGCAGCAGCAATCACACACTCGTGCCACTGATTTTACATGTGTAACCAGGCAACAGCCGTGGCGTAAAACAATTGGTGAAAGCACCTTTAAGGTGAGAACAGAGAAGCATTGTTCCTTCAGCAGATGGATGTGAAAACAAGCTCCTAGGGTCAAACATCCTTCTGCACAGTGAACATCAATGGCTGCTGGGGTGTGTAAAGTCAAAATTAAGTTTCACCTAAAAATGATTTTGATCCGATTCATTTTCACAATTAATCAGTTAAACATACAGTATAGTCAACAAAATGTCCGAAGAGAGTTGAAAGGCCAAACTTGCATCTTCATTTTGCTTGTTTTGTTGAATTAATGGCTCTAAACTCACCGTTAACTGTCATCCAAGACAAAGAAGAGCCACACACAAAGAAGAGCTTGTTTGGCAGAAAACATCTCATACAGTATGTAATATGCTGTAATACTGTGGGTGTTGTGTGTTTTTTCTGAATGTCATCTTCCACACTGCACTGACTGTGATCAGCTAGAGCTGAAATGATTCATCTAGTAACAATCAGTTGACTGACATTAAATGAATCACTTGGCTCATCAAGCAAGATGCCAAACATTCTCCAGTTCCACCTTGTTAAATAGGAGGATTTCCTGCTTTGTGTCTCTTCGGGTTTTGAGCTGATTCATTATGATATTTAGAAAACTGTGATGCACATTTTTGTTACTTTTAGGAGCCTGGCGATTTTCTAGTGGCAGCCCTGGTGCTGGTGTGTGAGTGCAGCTGTGATTCACAACAGTTCAGGTGCAATGACAAAGTACTTTCACAAACGAACCTTGGTCTGCGCACAGCCGAGCAAATACCTGAACACTTCCTGAGAAGTGCTGTCTCCAAACAAAGATCTGGCTGCAGCATGCATGAAGGATCAGTGAAAAACAAAAAGGTGGCGGCGCACCTTTAGCCAACAGTGTGTAACAAAGAACGTCTCTCTTTTCCCCTCTGCTAGTGGTAAGGTATGCAGCAGGAGTCGCCAAGTCCTCTGGCTGCATGGTTTAGAGACCGACTCCTGCTGCTGCACAAAAGATTACTTGACCCGGACCTGGCGTGGAAACGTGAGTCACACGGTGTAGACGAACACAACAGCGGCAGGATGTTGAAGGTTCAACGACTTATTCCACAGGGCTCCGCTTTTTCTGAATCAGCTGTCAACTTACCCAAAGATCTGTTCCCCAGTCCATGTCTGCAGAAGCTGGAGGTGCCTGAAGAGAAGGATAAATCCTCTGTGTGTGACTTCCAGCAAAGGAAGAAGAGATCAGGTGGTGGAGACAAAACAAACAAACAAACAAACAAACAAAAAAACCTTAGTCGTTTCAAAGATTTCACAAAACTGCGAGTCTCGAAAGCAGAGATGGCGGAGGAAGTTTACGCCTTCTCCTTGGCACGGACACTGCGCTCCCGGGCTTTATCATAACAAAGCAGCTTGAGTTTGTGTTCGTCATAAACGCGCATGGAAGCCGGCACCTCTAAATAAGAAGCTTACCCATGAATACAAGTCAGCTATAACATCGCACTAAAAGAAACCATCAAAGTCCTGCAGCACTTGTAAATTAACATAATTAGTCGTGGCAGTGTGGGTCTGTGTGATGGTGGAAAGTAACTAAGTACATTTACTCACCTTCTGTACTTAGGTGTCCTGTCTGTACTGTACTTGGGTATTTTCATTTGCTGCTACTTCATACTTCGAATTAACTACATTTTAGAGCCAAACGTTGTACTGTTTACTCCTCCGCATTTGTTTGATCACTTCAGTTACATTTCAAAATCAGATGAATAAAATAAAATACAGTACAATCACAAAACTTTATGGATCCTTGGTGGGATATCTATAAGCTAACCAGCCATAAATCAAATTCTAAGTATATAAGGCAGTTAACCTTAGCTCCATCTTAACCAGCTGCAACATTAATGTGATAATGCATCAATAATTATGATCCAATAAAGTGATGTATATTAATATGAAATGTCATTCTGTGTAATGGTAAATTCTACATTTTGAATGACTATTACTTGAAACTGTGTTTTTACTCTGTGGTATTGCTTTCAATTTCAGGAACAGTTTCAAATGCTTAACTATTAGGAATCCTGTAGGAATAACTTCCACTAGAGAGGGTTCCTCTTCATTTAGCACCACAGCGCTTTATGTTGTGATTTTTATGTGCACTGTCGGATCATGTACCTGTTGTGCCCACACATAAAGTCTAATGAGGTTCCTCAGCACAAGGGTGACACCTTGTGTTTAGTTAATATGCAGCCTGCCCTGTGATTAACCTGTAGACCTGAGAAAGGCTTGGGTCAGACTTTTTTACATGTTTAATGTCCCACAGAGCCTGTGATTGTCCAGCTGTCTCCTATAGTACATGACGGAGGAGAAGAAGAAAACATATCCAGCTCCATAGCAACTATTTTCTGACCCAAGAACATTTTTGATGTTGTAGCATGAAAAACCAACCATCTGTAGAATTATGTCACAGAACATTTTGGTTGTGGTTTTTAAACACATTCACTACAGTACTACACCTGCTATGTTAGACTGTTTTGGTATAGGTTTTAGTGTCATTCCATTTAGTTAATCCAAGACACCATTGTGTATCAAATGGATAGTATGGATGGTATGTCAAATACACATTTGAATACAACCAAAGGGAAAAACCCAGTTACAGTATATAGCCATAGCATTATAGTACATGTACTCCATAATTTCAGGTACCATGTGTTTATATGGAAAACTATACATATATAAATCCTGCACTGATAGAGTAAGAAAAGAAGTGCTACAAGCCTGAAGTTTGTCCTAAATGTTTTGTTTCTTAATCTCCTGTGGGCTTTCTTCAGCTGGCTAACTTGAATGTTTCATATGCTAATTGTAAATTTGGCCTTTTAATTTTTCTAAAAAAATCTATTTTTGAACTGAAAGGCTCTGACTCTTCTTCTAGCACCGCCATCTACGTATGTCATCGACTGCACCAGGAATATTCATGACTCCTAGACTGTAAATCCCGAGTAACTACTGACCTTCTAACTTTTCCTCTAGCGCCACCATGAGGTTGATATGATTGAAATCAACTGCTGGATTGATTGCCATAGACTTTAATAGAGGCATACATGGTAAAAACACTGGTGATCGCTGAACATTTACTCAAACACCATCAGGCCAAAATTTTAGCAAAACAACTGCAAACTGCTAACATTCCCATCAGCCACAGCAGTGCTTTGCCAACACGCAACTACACCAGTGAACATGGTCATTATTATGCCTGTGATAAACAACAACATTTTAGCATTGTGCTTGCTGATGTTTGCATTTATTAAACCTCAGCAAGCTATTTTGAATATAGTGCATGTTACATCCTTACCTAAAGGTTACCTGGGTGCAACATAAAAGTGACTTTCCCAGCAGCCAAGACGAACAGTGATGACAGATTTAAACCCTCTAAAATGCACTTTATCTAAGATTATTACCCTTTATTTAAAAAGGAAATAACTTGCCCCACTGAGACCAATGCACTGTTTTACAAAGGGGTCCTGGTAATAGATAAATAAAGGATCAATTGCACAAAAAAAAATGAGCCAATAACTTCAGGGTGGGTCTAGCAAAATAACAAACAAAACCAACTAGATGATTCTTGCTGCTCTTATCTTTCTGAAAGCAAACAAAAAGCTACAGGCTGACCTGAGTTCTTAGCCCAAACTGGAATTATTGCTCTTCAGTTGTCAGCCTCCACCAACCAGTCAAAATCATAGAAATGGGACAGATGTGATGTCGTTGTGACCTTGACCTTTGAACTTTCACCACCAAACTCTAATCCCTTCATCTTTGCGTTCAAGTGGATTTTTGTACCTAATTTGATCTAATTCCCACATGGCGTTCTTGAGATATCACCTTCAGGAGAACGAGCTGGACGGATGGTTCACCTGAAAACATAATGCCTCCTGTCATAGCTGTCGCCGGTGTGGAAACAGGAGAAAAGATGTTAAAACAAAAAGGCTAACACCACCCCTATGGCCAAGGTTAGCGTGCTGGCTGACAGGTTTGGTAGCTGTGAAGAGGAGAGCCATTCAAGGCTGAGAGGAGCCGGCCTCTCAGCGTCTGAGTCCTGAGCAGCGACCAATCAGCACCTGGAGAAAAACACACTCCAATCTGCACTTAAACTTCTCCACCTGTAGCCTGATTGAAACGTCACACACAAAGAGACATTCACAGCACACACACATGCACAGGAGAAGCACAAAGTGCTATAAAGCGTAACCTA